TTTTTTGAGAGCATCCGAGCAAAGGAATAAATGGAAAACCATGATCGCCGATATCTGTCCCAGATCTGGCACTGGATGATGATGACTCTCTTGTTACGCCTTATATGACTTTATGCAGTTAAGTTGCGAGCACCGCAAAACCTCTACTTTTACTTTTTTACTTTTATCCACCGCTTATACCCTTTTGGGTGTCGCGGGAAGAAAGAGACATCTCTCTGTCGCCAGCCGGGGAGCTTGGGTCAGGGGGATGCCGTGGGTGTCTAATGTAAAACCTCTACTAAAACAAAAACAGATATCACGGAAGAAACCGAGTTTTAAAATAATAGGGGAGGGGCGGGGTTGGGTGTTTAAAAGTACAGCTTGGCAGTGCTATCCTTCAACCTCTCTATTAGAGAACATCGCCCACGAAATCAATACATAAAGCAGAGAGACAATACCTGGTTCGTCTGCGATACCTTCAGAGCCAGAAAACGAGACAATTTACCCAAATTAGTATTGAAAATATCCATCGTTACAAATTATTGTATCCATTATTTATCACGATAACATAGGCTTATTTTGTTCTGCGAAACTGAGAAAGGTAAATGACATGCAGATATTTCATATTTTTTTTCGGCACACTCAAACAGGCCCGTTCTTCAGGGTTTATTAAGCACATTCATTGTTCTCTTTTTCCCCTCTATATTATTATTCTTTTTTCTATTCAGCTCTGAGAACGCGATCAGCCTATTTCTCTGCTAACTGCCTGAATCTAAGCAGCATCCTCGTAATATGTCCTTTTCCGTTTGGGAAAAGACAATTTGACGATATTTCCGACGACCTGGAAGGCGCTAGCAGTTTCAACAATAATCTCAAACGAATATCGTCAAAGTTTGAGTTTGAAATTTCCACCAGAGTAGTTGCTTTTTTAAGGATACAGTGTGCTGTCGAAAAAGTAAATGTAATCCCAAGACACTTCTTGAAACTGTTCTGGACCCTGAACCGCAAGTTAAATTACCACCAAACACACTCGTCCTCTTGACCGCGCATGAATAATTGCAAGAAAAGAACAAGACTCTCATTGCTGACTTGCCATGGATTTCAAGGAGTCACGAAAAGAGTTGGATTGCACTACTGACCCTCTCAGCACACATATTTTCTGTCTTGCCACGATATGAGGGGTGGTTGGAAGGCGCCACATGTAGGTTCTATTTATTTTCTTACCTTCTGTTGTTTCTATCTTGCTTTTTCCTGTCACTAAAAGGCCGCGGTCATGTCGAGCTGTTTCTCCTTACTAAAAAAACAAGCAAACCCCCCCCCACCAAATTTTTTTTTAAAAATACAAAAACGAAACAAAAAGAGACAAATACCTCTATTCTTTATTATGTTTCCAGAGTCAAATACAATCCGGATTTTTCATAATCAATGAATCAGTTGTCCTACTACAATGGCTGTTCTATGAAGTACTACTTTAGGCACATATTTTTTTTAAAGTTAAAAGTGATGGCAGGAAAGAAGATTTGTGTTATTTTTCTATTCCTAGAATTTGTTACAGGCTTTTACTTTGTTGTCTGGACTAAAAACCTAAAACGTGAAAAAGTTTATACGTACAAACTACATAATGTACATATTGCGCACACCAATCCTTCTGTCCCATTCTCTCTCCCCCTCTCC